TTGTTGTTTGTTATCTAAACAAAATTTTAATCTATTCTAAGAACATTAAAAAGTATGAACTTTATATTCATCATGTGCTATAAAAATTAGAGATCTAAGATTATATGCCAAGATAGAAAAGTATCTATTTTAAACTAATTAAGCTAATTTTTTATGATAAAAAATTTCAAATAATAGCCTTGTGATAGATTCTAAGAAGGTTTAAATTATTATAGATTGGAAGATCTCAAAAACAATAAAAGATATATAATATTTTTTAGGATTTGCCAATTGTTATAAAATCTTCATCAAGAATTATTTTCAAATTACAATTCTTCTTACACATTTGATATGTAAAGACAAAATTGAGTTGAGAAAAGAAGCTAAAATATCTTTTCAAATATTAAAACAACATTTATTTCTATACCAAACTTGTATTACATCAATTTTTCTTAGGTATTTTTTTATAGAAATAGATACATTAAACTTTGATATAGATGTAATATTATTACAAATAAGAGTAGACAATGGATTCTACTTGATAGCTTTCTATTCTACAAAATTTTCAACAAACAAGATTAACTATCAGATCTATGATAAAGAACTTCTTATAATCGTTGATTTATTCCAAGAATAGCATCATTATCTAGAACGCACTTTTAATCTAATTATTATGTATAAGAAATATAAGAACCTCATGTACTTTATTTTGGTATGTATTTTGGTATATATTTTGAATCATTGTTAAGCCAGTTGGAATATGTCCTTATTAAGTATTGATTTCAAGATCTCTTATCAACCCAAAAAAATAATAAGGTTTATTAGATGCTCTTTCTAAATATTCTTATCTTATACCCAAAAAAGAAGATGTAGCTTTTAATTAACAAAGAATAATTTTCTTGAAGCTGGAGTATTTTTATCTTTAAGCAATGAAATCAAAATTTATTATTGATTTAATCTTTTTCAAGCAAGTTCAATTAAATATGTTCTTTGATTTTCTCATTCATAATATTAATAATAATTCTTTTAAGTCTTATGAGACTTCTAAGTTCAAGTTCAAAAATAATCTACTCTATTACAAGAGACAATTATATATTCTAAAAAATAAAGCATGATTAAATATTCTTTAAACTTGTCATTACTTTCTAACAACTAGACATTTTGAATATAATAAGATTTTGGAACTAGTATCTAGAGATCTTTGATGGCCTCAAATATGGAATACAATTAAAGACTTTGTATAATTATGTGACATTTATGCAAGATCAAAAATTCCTTGTCATCAACCTTTTAGACTTCTTCAACCATTATTTATTTTAAAACAATTAGGTCATTTGTTTCTATGGATTTTATCATAGATTTTTTAATATCAAGTTAAAAAATTAATCTTGAGTAAAATTTTATCCAAATTTTAAACCACAAATAATTTTCAATCACACAAAATTTTAAAAGAATCAAATTCACCGATTGAAAGAAAAGCTCCCAAAACTTCCTGGACATTGGCCGCCTTTCTTTTCCAACTTAAATATTGATCTTTTAAAATTAATTTCTCTTAGCTAAATAATTAAATTTATTTAAAAATTAGCTGGTATATAGACAATTAAGTTTTAATTGCTCTCACAAAATTTTCCTTCAATTGAATTGGCAAATATTACAAGATTGCAAAAACCCCCACTAATCCTAAATTTCAACATGGTATATTTTTTCTCCTATAAGATAAATATATATATATATATATTTTTTTTTTAATAAAATAGAAGTATTAAAATTAAAATTTTTATTATTTTTTTATTAATTATCATTGTTTTTTTCTATGTCTTTTTACTAGGCTCTTCTACAATATAATAATTTCTTTCTTCCTTTACTTAATGGTTGTGTTACCACACAACAACATAAACCAAGTTTTGAAGCAATATTTGAAATATACCATTAACTATCAACAAGATGATTAGATAGTTATTTTTCTATTGGTAAAGTTTGCTTATAATAACATGGTATATTTTTCTATGTAATAAACACCTTTCTTTGCTATTTATGATTATCATCCATAACTTGATGCTTTTGACTTATCAAAAGTTAATAAACTTGTAGCAAAAGATTTGGCAAATCATTTATTTAAGCTACAAACAACAATAAAGGTACAACTAAAAGAAGTTCAAGAACAACAAAAGACCAACACAAATGCATATTGTAAGGAACAACCTCAATTCTATGTTGTTGATAAAGTATTATTATTTTGTTATAATAACAAGACTATCCACCTTTGTGACAAATTAGATTATCATAGGCTTAGACCATTTTTTATTTGTGAACAAATCAATCCAATTGCTTATCAATTACATTTATTAAATTCTATAAAGATCCATCTTGTATTTTACATGTGTCTTCATGAAATATATAAGATAGTAAATATTTTAAATAAAAAACAAATACCACTTCTTCTTGTAGAAGTGGACAATAATCAAGAATATGGGGTCAAAAAAGTCTTAGACTTAAGGCTGAAATATCTTATTTATTGGCATAGATATGATATTAATGAACACATATGGAAGCTAATTAAGAAACTTGCAAATGCAATAAAGAAGGTTGATGCTTTTTATTGATGGCATTTATCAAAATTAAGATAAATAATAGCAAATCTTTACTTTAAAAGAACTACAATTCAAAAAAGATCGCATTTTATCTTCTATCTTTGTATGTAATTTATATATATTTGTGGCAATAAAGAAATGGAAAATCAATAATTAGTAGATTCAACTCTAGAGCTATTATTTACTGACTTATTAGATGAAACATTGCAATTGTCACATCCTTCAAGATGACATGATTGAGATGAAGATCCTCAAGAATGATAAGCTCTTTTTAGGTTAGATGGCAAGATATAACGAGTTTGGTATTATGACCTTGGAAAAGACTCTTGATGTTTGGTGATTTTACTGGAGGTAAGAATAATTCCTTATGGTCTCACAAATATTTTATTTGAAGAAAGGTAGAAAAGGCTCAATAATAATTAAATAATAGGATAGTATTCTTGTCTTGAAATGAAACATTATTGATGGTTGAGAGAACCTACCAACCACCTTCGAAAGGAATAAAGATCATAGTATATAGCAAACATAATTTGCCACATCGTATGCTTCTTCAATATATGATGATTACTTCTTATAGAACTCTTCTTTAAAAGGAGAGGTAATATCAAGGACATATATATTTATCTAGATAAGAAATATTAAATAAAAAATAAATGTAGATAGATTTGATATTATCTTGTGGTAAAGCTTCTTAAAAGCTTTATTGATGCATATTTGACTTTGTACTTGTTTATATTTGATTAGTAGGTTAGAAACTTAGCCAACAAGTTAGCTATGTATTGCACATGTAGATAATTTGTTATACAAGATAATAATATAGTATACATATAGAAATCTTGCCTTGCAAGTTAAGACATGTGTCTTGTAAATTAGATATATATTAGAGGTCATGTAGGACATCGCCATATAGCTCTTAGTTGATAGTATATATGGAGGCTAGAGTGAAGCCTTCTTCACTATTATTAATGCCTTTCTAGTCCTTATTCTTCTTTCAAGACTTTCTAGTCTTTTTGTTTTAGCAATAGCCATTCTAGTTCAATATATTACCATCTTTAAGTGATTTTTTAGTCTTTTTGATTGACATAAGAGTGTATTGAGATTTTTTTGCTTTGAGATTCATGTCTTTGATACAGTCATTGTTGATCTCCAACAATTGACTCTACATTGATAAACACTTCAGCTTGTCTACACAAACCTATATAATTCCAATGTTCCATCTATTTAGCTAATAAATATATTTAATTATGACGCAATCAAGATTGCTTATGATTTTCTAAATATTCAATCTAGATTATTCCTTAATACTTGCATATGTCAATTTAACAACTTCATGTATAAGGTTTAACTTTCATGAGATTGAATGTTGTCAAGTAGCAACAAAAGGAAAACTATTTGCACACGATGAGCTCTTATTCAAGTGGGGTAAAGAGAGATATGGTGTCGGGACCCATAAGTATTCCAAAAGACGGGTTTGAAATGAGAGATTGGGGACATGGAATAGGAATGGAAAAAGACAAAAGTAATCATGAGATGACAAGGGGATGTAGCTTTAACAATATTGGGATGTAACTTTATCAACTTCCATTATTTTATAAAATGCTAGCTCAATATGATTCTTTTTGGTACTTTGATTAAACAAAAGTTTACAATCTGAAATTTAAAAAATCAAAATTATAGGACAAAATCTGTTTATAATAAAATTTTCATTTAATTCCAAAATAAACCTGGAATAACTCAAGTCAAATATTTATAACTGTCTTTTTTCTTTTTCCTATGATACAAATAATAAGTTTAAATTTGAAAATTCAAAACATGTATTTTAAAATTCATGATTACTTTTAACAAAAAATCAACAAATACTGACGCATTCATGCAATCAAATTGTGATTAGATGGTAAAGATTTATTAAAAAGTAAAAAAATGTAAAAAAAAAAGAAAGAAAAAAAAGGCTACACAATGGTTCCTTAAAAAATGCCGTAAAAGTTTGGAACCCACTACACTCCAGAGAAAACCTCCGTTCGTGTTTCCGTATTGCAGGAATCCGACGGCGATGGAGCTCGATTTGCTGTGGCTCAATCCCGTAACGGCAGGATCGAGAGTGAGATTCATGGGTTTCGAGGTCTCCGTGTTTCCTGCCATGAGGTGGTCTCACCGGCGGCAGCGCTGTGTGTGAGAGCTGCTGTGTGGTCTCTCGCAGTATGCTTATTTTTCATAGATCGTCCTGGTGATTGTAATTTTAGGGTGAAGCGATCCGCGTGTGGAAACCGAAGAGTAGGTTTAGGGTTTTGGATATGTAACCTCATGGAGCACTTGTTGCAGAGACGCTTTTGTAACATGAACAGAGCTCGGGCTCAGCGAATACGAGAAGCTCAAAATGTAGTCCGATTTGCCTCTTTAACCTGTGTGTTCGTGTGTGGGCGTGATAAATCTGGACCACACTCAGCTTCAATTAGCTGAGGTCGTGGAACCATGACGACCTCGCTGTTGAGTCACGGGGCACCAGTGTCATTTACATCGTCGAGACGGAGCCAGAAGTGTGGTGGAATTGGCAAGATCTTGGGAGGCTCTCCAAGCAGATTGCAGTGTTCAGTCGTGAGTTGTGGCTCGTTAGGCTTAAACGTGAGAGTTGTATTGAAGGGTGAGCAGTCACGAACGCGCAGTTCGCGATTGACTTCACACAACTATCTTTTGTCTTCCAAGAGGACGCTCCTGCAAGATTGGTGGCGAAGAGCAGTTGGTGGAAACACTTATCATGTATGGTTGCGTAACTGTGTTCATGGAACGCCTTTATACGAAGAAAGCGTAGACACAGATGTGTCGTGTCATGCTCAAGTTAACCCTGAGGCCTGGAGCATCGATGACGAGTCTCTTCCTCCTCATGAATTGTCGACTCTTTCACGACCAGGTAACGCTCACATGTGGTGAAGTTTGTTTAATGGCTGAGCATTTATATTTCAGAATCAATTTTGGACTTTCGGTGTATTGATATTTCGGTCTCGTTTGAAATGTTTTATTTGTATTTTTAGGGAGATGTCTTATATACTGTTTGTAAGTTTATTATGAGCAGTGTCCATTGCTTCTGGACGTCATGGACTGATATCTTTATTTGCGAATGCGGATCAGATAGTGAAAGAAGCGGCCGTGTGGCTTCTGCGATTGGGCTTATCATGGGTACTCATCTTGGTCCTCCTGAGCACTAGTTTCTCCACAGAAAAGTTCTGGCTTTGTTCTACAGTTCATGTCATGCATAGTTTCAACAATTAAATTCCACCCTTTCCCACTGGAATTGGAATTATATCGATCTTCTAACTCGGATACATACCACTTATTTTTTTGTCTCGAGCAACCTCTACATGATTTTTCTAGTCGATGCATCTCTCGCAAGTTTCGAAAACTTCATGAACTTAGTCTTATGGGCAGTGAAAGTTAATTATCTCGATAATGCTTACATTCTTGTCATGTAAAGTTGCGGAGCAATATCTGTTGATCTTCCAGCATGTCATCGGAAGTTTTGAATCTGGATTCTAATTGGCGTTTGCAGAGTATATTTTATTGTCTGACGGTGTATCATTGGCTCTTTTGTTGTCACTTGTTGTAGGCACTGCTGTTGGTCCTGGTATTCTTGGACTTCCTGCTGCCACGCTTCGCGCTGGTTTAATTCCTTCAAGTGTAACGATTGTTGCTGTGTGGGCGTATGTCATGGCTTCTATATTGTTGGTAGCAGAACTGAGTTATGCAGGTGAGTTCGTCTGGCGTTTTGCATAAGACATGACAGCATCTAATTTGGAAATATTGAATTCAAGAGTAAGGTAGGATTAAAACGCATGATAATTCCATCGAAGCTTAGTATTTGGATCCCAATTGTGCACTTCATAACTAAACAGCTCAATGTCTACTAATCACAGCCTTTCACTGCGTTTAGAAAATATCAATTTGTAAATTTTCATCTCTCTACTTGTGCCACAATTGACAGTGATGGCAGAGCAAGGAGGAGTGGAAGTGAGCTTTACTGGCCTGGCAGTGCGCACCCTCGGCCACTCAGCAGGGCGCGTTGTTGCCCTCGTGTACGCTCTCCTCAATTATGCCCTCTTGGTGGCCTGCGTGGCAGGGCTTCATTCGATTCTAACACATTGGCTACCTTTACCTTCTTCTCTCGTTTGCATGCTGAGCCCTGGGGTAGTCATTTCCATGTTGGCTGTCACCTCTCTCCAAACAGTGGATGTCCTCAACCGAGCTCTGTGCGGGCTCATGCTTGCATCTATCACTTGTCTTGTAGGCATTGGTATCTCAGTCAGTAGAAACATCTGGCTTGGATCTACAGGCTTTGGAACCCTTTCTTTGAGTGCACTACATCCTGCAATTCCTGTGATTGTTCTCACATTAGGGTTCCATGTCATCATACCTGTGGTTTGTCGGGTGTTGGGAGGAAATCCTCAGGAAGCTCGCAAAGCTATACTCTGTGGGGGAACTGTGCCTTTGTTGATGGTCTTGTCTTGGAACACCGTCATTTTAGGCCTAGCCCAAGCACCGGCCGGAGCTTCTATGGCCTCCTTTGATGCTATCAAACTCCTCCTTTCTTTGAGCAGCAGTGCAGCTCCAGTGGTGCAGGCTTTTGCATTTTCTGCGCTTGGTACAACGCTTATAGGCTATGCCTTGAGCTTTCCAAAGCAGCTGCTCGACACTGTAAGCTTGTTTTTTATTCCTTCACAGGGAGTGGAGAGAGAGAAAGCACAGGAACCAGACCGGTCAAGAAGAATGGCAGCACTGTTGCTGGCTATGGTTCCTCCTGTGATAATGGCCATGACTTCGCCAACAGCATTTGCCTCAGCGCTTGATTTCGCTGGCGTCTATGCCAATTGTTACCTATTTGGTGTGCTGCCCCCAATTATGGCCTGGGTGTACCGCTACCAGCAACCGCAAGCTGATCAGGTCCTTCATACTAGGCTTGTACCTGGTGGAAGAATATTATTAGTTGTTCTGCTTGTCATTGCGCTTTGCCTTGGCTTGAAACCTCCCAATAGTAGAATGTAAATGGATTCTAGCTGCAGTCGTTGTAGGTTTTGAATTGAAGCTGTTAATGGGGTTGTTGATGTGAAGGAGCTGAGTAATCGGTATTCGGAGGACTTCCACAGTTCAGAGGGTTCATACTAAAAGTGGATAACACGAGCAACGGTTGTGTCTTGAAGTTCTGTACATTCGCATTCTTTTCAGGCTATTAGTTTTCAGTTTGCACTCTTTTCAGAGAGCCTTGGTTTATACTTTTGTTATAATTTTTTCATTGCATGTAATGGCTGTGGTCGTTTGAATAGATTTTCTTCCATTATTCTGTTGTGCAATTGCTCTTATGTTTCTAAAAACTGAACCTCGTGTGCGAAGAGTTCCCAATAGGGGGAATTTCATTTTGTGGTTTTCTTTGAGCTTCTTCAAAATGGTGGGTACTATGGGCGTGATGAACCATTGGTAATTCGGCAAACAAATGGCCAACGTTGCAAGGAAAGAGCATAACTCTTCTGCCCGGGCTAGTAAATATGAAAGTAAAATACCCCGAGTGTACAAGCGTACTGCACTATTTAATTTTTGTGCACTGTTCGGGTATGAATGTCCAGACTTGTTCTTTTATATAAGTATTGCAGATCACAGAACTTACTATTATGCAGGCGCCTGTGATAATTGTGGTACTTGTATTCAGGAATCCTACCAGTCCCTGCTCTAGAAAGAATCCACTAAGAAAGACAACACTAGTTTGTCCAGGTTCATGAATTTAAGATTTTTCTCTCTGCAGCTTTGGACTCCTGACAATATCTTGCTTCATAGTGGGATAGTTACACGGGATACTAATTTAAAACACGGCTGCTTGCTGCTTGATTTGAAAATCACCTATTTGAGCTGCAATAGAAGTCTAATTTTGGTGGCATGGTAAACAGGACAGTTTCAAAAAATTGGGTACTATTGGCAGAGGATTTTTTTTTTTCATTACTAGTTATTCGTTTGATAACTTTTGCAGTCATTAGTAATCAGTATGTTCTACCGGATAGTGCCATAGTTCTATCACATTCTATGCAACATTATGAAGGTTTTACTTGAGCTACATTAAGGAGTACAAACCTATTGGAATTTCACTTGAAGCAAATTTGAAGTTCATGAAGTTTTTTGAAGAAGTTTTTGCTGAAACTAAAATAAAAATTAAAGATGTTGCATGTAAGACAAAAATAGAATCACTCAAATATAGAATTATAGGCACAAAAACTAATTTTGTATTTGTAATGAATGTTGTTAGTTACCATGTATTTAAGATTAGATTTATAGTTTGAATAATAGTAAAGAGAATCATGATGTAATTAAAAAGTTATTGAATTTCAAATTGTTGATTTAATAGTAGAAATATCAACCTCTAAAGTTATTACAATATACATTAGGTTAGTAGTGCAAGTAACTAGAGATCTATCATATGATGCTTAATATTTTGTTTTTAAGTTAGAGTTATTTTTTGAAACTCCAAGAGACAATTAATTATTGCATATCTTATAATTAAAGCATGGTTGTTATACAATAGAAGCAATTTGGTGAAGACAACTCTTGAAGGTTATTGTACTTATATAGTTGGAAGCAATCTTGGTTATATGTAAAAACTAAATAAGCATTATAATTGTAAAGAATCCAAAGCATTCTTTTTGCACAAAATATATTAATGGTTAATATTACATTATAAGAAAAGATTATAGATGTGATAATAAGTATAATGTTTTGTATAATAGAAGGCCTAATTATTGATTTGCTTACAATTTGTTTTACAAAAATTAAGAATTTTAATTTAATATTAATTATAGTTTTAAAATTTTTTATAATACTTGCAAAGAAGAAAGTTTTAAAAATAAAATTGTATAATTAATAATTGCTGATAAATTTACCACTTAAAATTTTATATTATATCAGATCTTAGTTGTTAAAGAATAATAAGTAATATGAATAACTAGAACAACTAGAACAAATGGTGGCTAAGGGTTCTAATTCTTGGACTTTTGAGTTTTGGCTTTTTGTTCAACTCCCTTTAGGAGTAGGTGGTGGAGGTGGATGTATTGAAAGATTTTTTTTTTTTTTTTTTTTTTTTTTTTTCCTTCTTCTTTAATATAATAATAAGATATTTTTATTATTATTGAGACGAGTAGTTTAGGTTTGAGGATTGAGTGGTGAGAGAGGTTGTATAGAGGCCAAGGGCATGGAATATAGAAGCCACAATCTTCGTTTAGGATAGGCTGTTGTATTTGATGCTCTCCGATCCTAGAGACAACTTACTTGTTTTTGAATTTTAGTATCCATTCACATCACTCCACATATGTGAATCAATAAATCTTATTACTACTAATAATCTTTAAATTTTATAATATTTTATTTTTATCTATATAAAATAATTTAAAATAAAAATAGTAAATAGAAACTAATAAAAAAATTGAAATTATTTTATATTTTTGGAAGTATACAATATTGATTTAATAAATTCCTCAATAGATTGCAGAGAAGATGACTACAAAAAAAAAGAGAAAATAAAGGCATTCAATAATTACATAGAAGATTGACAAAATCAATCATGAGATGACAAGGAAAGATGTGGCTTTAACAACATTAGGGGTGTGACTTAAACAACTTCTTAAATATATATATATATATATATATATATATATTACTTTTAAATAAAAGATATTCAAAGCAAGTACATAAAAGATGTTTATATTTTCTTTTATATTATTTTATTATATATTTAGTAATTTTTTTATATATAAGGCTTATTTATTTATTATTTATTATTTATTATCATAACTATTATTATTTAATTAGAAAAATATTTAGTATATTATAAAAAATAAAAATAATAAAATTATTTTTTATACTTAAAAAATATAAATAGTATTATCATAAATATTTTTTTTACTTGTTAAAAAGAATAAACTAATAAACACTTTACAAAATACTTACACATGACACATTTTTTTTTTAAAAAATAACTAATATATATATATATATATATATATATGTCACATGATATGGCATTGAGTGCCAAATTTGTCAAATGTATGTAATTTAGTTTAATTAGTGGTTTTTCATCCATTGATAGTTTGTTTTATTGATTGACTTTATTCATGTCAATTAGGATTTAAGTGCTTAATTGGAGAAAAATCCTTGATTTAACATTCTTATCAAGTCAAGTCTTGTGAGTGATTTTGAGAGAGAAAGAACTTGTTGTAAGAGTTTGCTTGGCTATGGTGGTTTAGCCATTTTAGTAAAGCTTTAGGATTTCTCTTATTTCTATACTTGTACTTTAGATCCTTCTTTTGTGGTGTGAGAGATAATTTGATTTAGTTTGGTATAACTTTCTTATCTTTCATTTGATAAGAATGTCTCTTTCTCTTTAATTTGTAGTATATCAAATTAGAATGGAATAGATTCAAAAATAAATAAATAAATAAATGAAAACTCTTTCATTTATTATTTTTTTGGATGTTTTTGTGTTGTTTTTGTTTTGTTACTATATCCAAGATTAGAATATAATGGAGGTACTAGGCACTAAAATATGCAGGTTAAAATATTATCCTTTGTTTGTACTGTCTCTAATCTGGTTGCTATCTCTAGTCTAATTACTAGTTATAGAGAGCTCTTGGCTACAGATACGTCATAATACAAGAGGAAGATATGGTACTGGATGGTATTGGAGCTATAAGGTGGCAATGGAGCACAAGGTCAGAAAATGGGATTGCAATGCTAAGCAATTACAAGTGGTTGTCAAAGATTGCAAAATGGTGAGGCAAGGCCAAGTTGGAGAAATATGGCACAAGAGTAGTAGGGTTGTAGATTATTGTATGCAGTGTAAGGTTGGATTATTGAGTAGAGACAAAATATTACAAGGACAGCGAGCCGCAATAGGTAGTGTAGATAGCAAGTTGCGGAGCTTAATTGCAAGGAATTGTAATGTATTAAATAATGTGGGTTGCAAGGTATTGTATCATAGGAATTGAATTAAGGTGCAGAAGCAAAACAAAGTACAAGATATATTACTAGAGTTTGATGTACGAGAATAGTTGAATTGCAGTATGCTATGTAATAGAGAGGCATTGTTGTATAGTAATACAACTATATAATGAAAATAAAATATGGATGTTATTATAGAAGAGCTTAGCAAAAAGACGTAAAACAATAAGGATAAAAGATAGAAAGGTAGTAAAAGATTTAGTCTTAATGCTGCCTTTTTGTAGAAAGGACTTCTATTTACTTTGTAGAAGTATAGATGAACCTAATTCAAATAAATGAGATAAGAAAATAATATAGGCATATATAAAAAAGAGTTAAGAATAGATTTTAACAAAATTTACTTCAAGAAGTCAAGAATTGATACCTAGAGAGGACTATTTGTCAACCTAGATCAAAATTAGACTCTAAGGCATAAAACTACACATCTATAGTGATTCTAAGATTTGTTTTTATAGATTAAAGAGTGGCATTTGAGAGAAAACTTAAAAAAGAATTGTTGGACATTTTTTTATGTCAATTGAATCAATATTGAGTTTTTGAAGGATTTTCAAAGTTGGTAGTATTCTGAGTTGGTTTAGATATTGAAAAATAAAAATATATCCAAAAATTTGAAGGATTCTTAAGTTGTGCAATGTATTTATAAGTGAATTTTGGGCAATGTCTTGATGTTCTAGTTATAAATGAGTGTACAAATTTTGAGATCAATCAAATGATTAGATTAAGATATGTAAAGGTTTTTGTAGGTTGAAGTTTAAAAAATTAGAATTTGAGGGTAAGTGAGTATTTCTAAAATCTTTAGTAATCTATCAATTGGATTGAAGTGAATTTTTTTTGTATGGATATTAGACTTAATTTCCAACATTTAGGTAAAATTTCAGAACAATTAAATGATTCAAGAAGAAGATATTGGTATTAGAAGTTCAACATTTAGGTTGAAGTAGGAAGCCATCCAATACCTAATTGGATTATCTTGTATTTCTCTCCATTGGTAAGAGCAATCAATTTCATCTTTCTTGGATTAGGATTTAATTAGCATTTGGTTTAGAACTTAATTAGAATTTTATTAGGATTTATCTAAGATTTTCCTACAAATTAGGATTTTGTTAGCTATCATTAGGATTTGACATAAGATTTGATTAAGGTTCAATTAGGATTTTAAAATTTCTTTAGGATTTTTTTAAGGTTTCTATTTTTAATATTTTTTAAAGATCATTTTTATTTCTTTAAATATTTATTTTTATATTTCTTTAGGATTTTTATTTATTTATTTATTTATTTATTTTTAGGATTAATTTAGGACTT